CTGTGCCATTCCACATTATTACAAATAACTTCATTTCTGGACATTTATGGTTTGATTTMTTTGTATGTATGGATCACTTGGGTTGTTACCAACATCTGGTGGAAATTTTATGTCATTAGCTCCTCTAGTAATATATTTACTGAGAAAAATGTTGACGTGTTCAATACTTATTTTAGCCGCTGTATTTTTACAAGTTAAAACTGAAAAAAAGAAAATAATAATTACAGAGCATATTTGAACGAATTCAAACAGCTGTCCCAACATTTTAAACAAGGATGTTGCATAATCTTGTTGCAATAAAAGTATGCATTAGGGACAACTGTCGGCTACTACCAAACCAAATTTTAGCTTAATATGTTTAAAAATAACTGAGATATAATCTTTTTGTGTGTTTGCTAAGTTCAATTAGTTGTAGCAACCATATTAAATTGGATAGACTTCAAAAGTCGATTGTAGATGTACATCCAATAATTATTTTTTGACAGTTTGATTAAAATCTCTGTTATGGTCCATGGGATATTTTGTCAACAGTCAGACAAGCAAACTGACCCACACACAGATAGAAAGCTTATTACATGATCACCTGCCCTTACCGGTGGCGAGTGACAAAGATATTGCTACTAGTAAAAGTTATAATTCGAGGTCTGAACAACAAATTATGAAAACTTTATTATGAAAACCGTTGCATACGTCAAACAGAGCCAAAGCAGTTTGACGTATGCAACGGTAAACCAACATCATAGCTTGAGGATATGATGCAGTGATGACAGACAATCTGTGCATGCAGATGGCTGCTGGATTTACTGTAGAATGAGAGATGTCCAACATGTATTTTATGCATAGTATGCCACATCAACAGCACTGGGTTCCACTCGACCTCTCCTGTGGTTCTTCAAGTATGAAAACTTGCATTTTTGCAAGGCATTGCCAGCTTGATAAGATGGTTTACAAATGGCCAGAGGCTGGTACTCCATATGTTGTGGGGACCTAGTGTTACTTATGGGGACATGACTGGTACTTATGAATCTGAATCTAGTCCCTGTAGACTCTGTTGGTGGGTCTGGGGTTAAGTTTAAGACTAATGTGTGAATTGGGTTTAGGTTAGTTTTAGGGTCAGGTAGGTACCTGTGAGGGTAGCCTTAGGGTTGGTGGTCAGGGTAAGGCTATAGAAATGTAATGGAAGTCAATGCCAGGTCGCCAAAAAGATAGCTGTACCAGATTGTGTGTGTGCGTGCGTGCGTGCGTGCGTGCGTGCGTGCGTGCGTG